TGTAAACCAGTTGTCTGTAAGGGTAGCATGATCCCTGATTTTTATTTGTAATTTGCTTGTGTGTTTATTAGATATTTTTGCTTTGTACAAACAATAGTTTTAGTTGTGGAATATGATAAGTGCACAATACACTTATCTGAGCTTCAAAACTTGCTTATCTATTTCTATATTGAGCATATATCTATCCAATTTAGTATAAATATGATTAGTTGTAGGTTAAATTCAACTTGAATACAATTAACATGAAAATTTATAATTGGAGCTTAATTGGAGTTGATTTGGATTAATTGATCAACCATATTACAATTGTTCAATGTAAGGAATTAAAAGAGCAATTAAAGGAAAATCACAAGTTTCAAGAGTTAAATCCAATGTGTGAAAATTTTTGGGACTTAATCGCAAAATTTTGGAACTTAATTATGGATGATGGAATTAGATGTTTCATACTTTCATTGGCCATCGAACTTTATACCATGTCACGGTTTACTCATCTAACTTCCAAAGTTGTCCATTAGCCATTGAACTTTACTTTGTTACTGCCCATTAATCACCGGCTAAAATTTGTTAGTTGACGTGTTGATGTGAGGTCCTCCCGCCGTTGTTGACTACTCAAAGAGCCCAACCCAAGCGCGAAGAAGCACCACCCATTTCATTTTTGTACTTCAAGCAAATGGACGGACCACACGAAGGTAGTTTCCAAAACTTTTTTTTAGTTTACTGCGAAGGAAGAGTTCATAAGGTAAACGGAATTTTTTATAATATTGTTATTTACAGAAAAATATAGGGGGGTAATATTTGACCGATGTGCATTTTCCATCACTTGCAATTTCCCTTCAACTTGGATAGCTACTCGGTTACAGTGTTAAAGCTTCCATCTCATATACTAGTTTGGAAGTTTTTATTTTTTAGGCCTATGATTTGTAATTCGTAATTTATGTTGCATTGGAAAATTTAGTTGCATACCTGTTAGTTTTGGTGGAATATTATTTCTATGTTGGTTGACTTAGTGTGGATATTGTTTACAATTTCTAAAACTGGCTAAGTATTGAATCTGATGATGTAATCTGGGTTTTATATTGTTTACAATTTAAACATTTGCTTTGTTTTTTTAAATGTTCATCATGATATTTGTCGAATAATGCGTGTAATCTGATTACATAATGTATGCATTTGACAGGGTAAAATGGTCGCAGACAAAGGAAAGAGAGCATCGACGGACCATAATCCTGTGGAAGAATAAACTTTCCATTTCATTCCAACCCCCATGGTGTCGCGGGAAGTGCGGTCAGGTGGTCTTAAATCTAGTCCAACAACAACGATGTGCAGTCAAACGGTTCCTCTTGATGTTCCACAGCCACATTAAGGACATCATTTCTGACTTCGGTGTTTTTGGTTTTTGAGCAAATCTATGGCGGAACGTACGGTCCATTTTAGCTTTTCCAGTCTCCTTTTTTTTCATGTTAATGAGCTGGTACTGCTTTAGTACACTAGTAATTGCCTTACTTGTTTAGATCATTGTCTGAATTTGGTTACATTTTAACTATTCTATGATTTTCATTGTGAAGCAACCATATTGTTAAGCACAGAACAATTGAAGCAGCCATATTGTTTAGATCAAGCATGGAACAATTGTGAAGCAGCCATGTACTAAAGTCGACAGTTCAGTGACTGTTATTTCAACAGAAGTTGTATTTTGCAATGTCCAATGTTTTGTTTTTGGCATGTAAATCGAAGTCAGATTGGGATGGTACAATGTTATTGAGACTCGATCTATTTATGAAATCTGTTTAAACCACCAGATGTTGAGACGAATGAAGTAGAATATTTGATATTCAATATTTCAAAATTTAGAAGTCCAGGAGCTCTTAACTTTCAGTATATTTTTGGCAGATAATTCTGCATGCATTAAGCATAAAAGTCAGATAAGTTAGTTCAGCTATTTAGAAATATAGTTGGATACTCTCTTAACAGGTATGCACACACTTCACTAAATAATACTTCAAGCAGACAAACTTAAGGTCTACAATGTTCAAACTTCATAAGAAATGCATACAAACTTAACGTCATGTAATTAAAAAAACTTTGATGAATACAATAACATTGGTCCAACTTGACTAATACGATAATATTGGTACAATGAACAATATAGGAGGTCTAATTTCACAGAGCTCTTCCCTTTTGTTTCCCATTATCTGCTACACGACCTTTACCCTTGTGGATAGTAACATTGAATGAGACATCCACGACCTCCACTTCCTCTTGTTCGGTTATGTGGGCCAAATCCTTCAATACACGAGACAAATCTTCTATTGGAACTTCGGGCTGAAAGTTACCTGAACAAGCACGTCGGGTTTCACCTGGCCTGAGAGCCACAAACAGTAAGACAGTCATGCAGTTATCTTAATGAATTGTCAAAACACATACCCACACATTTATGCTTACTGCTTATAATTAACATCATTGAACAGGAACTCGCTATCAACTATCAATTACCATTACCGCACAGTACCATAACATATGAATTATTGTCGGAGGATATTGTCAATAAATATTCAATCTAAAACATTATCAATAAGAGCAAAATAAAAAATTTAATCCTGCTTGAATGTCAATTATTCTTATCAATAGGAGGATAAAAATTGATCTCTACCCAACAACATGCATTCAAACTTTGTCAGACATGTGCGTAATTATTGATTAAATGTTGCCAATATCGCAATATTATGAAGTGTAAGTGTGGACATTGAATTAAAAAAACCCATAACAACAAACACGGTAAAGATTCAGAAAATTACAGAAAGTAATGAAAATACCATAGTATAACTTACGAAATCGTCAAACGAAGGTAGCTTGCACAAAGGAATTCAATTTCTTGACCACTTCTACAGTTAGGGTTTCGAATGTCGAGTAGATCTCAAGGATTTTGGGGTTTTGGAGTGGAGGTTCGAGAGAAATTGATATGGGAAATTCCTGGATTTCAAGGGATTTGGAGGTTTTAATTCAATTGGGAAGAGACACATTTCAGCTGTTAAATCTTTCTAAAGGCGTGTTTGGTTAGTTGATTTGGCAATAGGGATGGCAACGGGCGGGGCGGGGCCGGGCGGGGCGGGGCGGGGCCGAGGAGCCTTCCCCGTCCCCCGCCCCGCTAAGAAATTCCACACCCCATCCCCGTCCCGTACCCGTTTAGGGGGGGGGGGGGGAGGCCCCCGTTACCCGGAACCCGCCCTGGGGAAAAATTCATCGCCCCATCCCCGCCCCGTTACCCGATTAAGTGGGTTTTCCCCGCCCGAGTATCGGGTTTGTCGGATTTTTTTGCTATCCTTATTTGGCGAACATTTAACATTTGGAGACAAATAACCGGCCATTTTATTTTAGTAATTATCAATTTCAAATTTTTTATCTAATTATATATATATAAATTCAAACGGAAGGAAATTATAAAAATTAAATAAAGAATATAAATATTATTTAATTAAATTTGAAAAAAATAAATGCTTGTTTACAATGAATATTTAATTAAAGAATTTTAAATTAAAAGAAATAAATATTTAATTTTCTTAATTATCAATTTGAAATTAATTATACCTATAAAAAATTAAAACAACAGGAAAATAT